TTGCTCGTCCTAACTAACACAAAAAAAGTCCTTCGAGAAGATTGCCAAGACTTATTCCAGTTTTATCAAATAGCAATCAATTTTTTTTGAGCTTTTCACAGTAATTGAAAAATAGTACAATTCGAAGAGGAAATTGAATTCTGTATCCAGCACAATCAACTACAGAGCCAGTACAGCTTCAGGAGCGAATATCAGCAAGAAACACTTGAATGTATTGATAACTTTCCTTACGTCGGAATTGAAGTGATTCTAGGGGAAAATTCACTTCAAGAAGAGCAGTCGTTAGTTTGACCGATATTTGTTCAACTTTTTTTACTTTCTTCTCATTTCCCATTTTCAAAATATTTACAGTCTTGTAATGTATATGCAACATTTACATGTACTCCGAGAAAATTGTCTGTATCCATTCCGCTTTGTTAAAGGTCCAATGTCGACCAGGAGAGAATCTTGTTGCAATGTTTCAGCATGTTTTCATTTCTCGTCAGAACTGAACTTTCGGCACAATAGCTGGACATTTACTGTTTTCCGCAGCTAAGTATTTTTTTTACAGCGTCGCACCCAAGGTTACGAATACATAACATTAAAAAGAATCTCGCTGAAGTTCGGATGAACCCCAGATGGTCATGTCAAGATTTAATTATTTTTCATAGAAAGTTGCTGATTAATCCATAGATCGAATATAAAACCTGATCAAGAAATTTACATTGTTGAATAATGAATTACTTTGTAAACTTTTAATAATTAATCTAACATAGCGTTTTATTGAATATATATGAAAATATCCTTTTTTTTAACACGTTTATCAAACATTTACATAGATAACAAGCAGGAAAAATAATAACAATTTCATCTGACTATTGATTTCTAAGAAAAAATATTTTTATCTGACAAAATATCTCTATATGTATATATCTGTACACATCCAAAATATAAATCCATTTGAGTATTTAATCATTAATTATTCTATTTATCGGACACGAATAAGAACTTTACGTTGCATACGATATTGAACATCACCACGACGTACCATTGCATGAAGAACCTTATAAACAGCACGTTCAGAATAATTCTAAAAATTTCAAATAGATTTCAAAAAGAATGATTTATTTTATTGAATTAATTCATACTTGTCGAATAAAATCTTGAACAATAGCATGTTCTGATACTTGTGAACCAACTACAAATCGACGTCGAACTTGTTTTTCAATACGAGAAATTTCTTCTTGATCTTCACGTGTTGTAAAACCTTCGATACCTAATAGAAAAACAAAAATCATTCAAAAAATTCAAATTCATTGAAAAAAATCAACATACCAGCTAAATTTCCTGAACCAGCTGATGAAAGTGTTGAAACATGAAATAATCGAAGTGCTTCATCAACATCAGTTTCATTAGCAAATGGTGCTAAACGCATTTTTGCCAAACTTTCAGAAATACGAACTAATGCTTCAAGTTGTCTAATCAAAAAAAGAACGAACACAATAAAATTCTTGAAAAAACAAAAAAACTTCTTACCGAACAGTAATTGGAATTGCTGTTTTCTTGCCAACTTCTCGTTCATAAATACTCGTACCATTACGCATAACAACATATTGATTACGTAATTTTTCTGAAGCACTTTCCGACAAACGTGGTCCACATTTACTAATTTACAAAAAAATTCTTAATTTTTTTAACGAGTATTAAAAAAAAACAATCTTACCTTCGACAATAAGCAATATATTTTTTTAATTTTTGAATACTCATATCACCACCACTATCATCTGTATTTAATATATTCATATGAATTCTAATAACATGTTTTGCTAAAGTCTAAATAATAACAAAAAAAAAAAAGAAGATTTTTCCTTCTTCATTCAAATGCCTTTTGTAACATACTGAATCTCGTTTTTCATCATGTTCATCTTTAATTATAAATATCATATCAAAACGTGAAAGAATTGTTGGCATAAAATCTAAATTGTCATCGCCTTTTAAATCATCCCATCGACCATAAATTGAATTAGCTGCTGCTAATATACTACATCGAGAATTTAATGTTGTTGTTATACCAGCCTTAAAACAACAGAAAGAAAAATTCATTTATTAAATTAATTTTCTACATAAATAATTTTCATATTACTTTAGCAATTGATATTGTTTGTTGTTCCATTGCTTCATGAATAGCAACACGATCATCTTCACGCATTTTATCAAATTCATCAATACAAACAACACCACCATCAGCTAATACCATTGCACCACCTATATTATTCAATCATAAATAATTAATTTAAATCAATTGAATTTAATTTACCTTCAATAACAAAATTTTTTGAACTTGGATCACGTATTACACTTGCCGTAAGACCAGCTGCACTACTACCTTTACCACTTGTATAAACTCCAATTGGTGAAACTTTTTCAGCAAATTTTAATAATTGTGATTTAGCTGTACCGGGATCACCAACAAGTAATACATTAACATCACCACGACGAAATAAACCATCGGGTAAACTAAACAAAAAAAAAACAATTTTCAATCTTTAAATATATTTATCATTCGATTAAACTAACCGTTTTCTTGCACCACCAAATAATAAACAAGCAACAGATTTTTTAATATCTGTTGCACCATAAATTGATGGTGCAATACTATTTGCAATTGTTTCATAAACATCAGGTGTTTGAGCAAATCGAACAAATTCTTCTTCTTCAGCTGTTGTTAATGTTTGAGCTGATGAACGTCCAACACCATCTGTATCAATACGAATACCAAGAACACGAACATATGGTTGACGTGTACCAATTGTAGATTTTTCTTTTCCTTTCGCCTATTAACAAATGAAAAAAAAATGAAAGCTTTTCATTCAATTTATTTTTACTTTGTTCATTGGAATATTTCGTTTAATACAATAAATACCAACGAGTGTTATTTTATTTCCAGGCATTGCACGATCAACAAGATTTCTATATAAAATAATAGAAATCTTATAAAAAATAAAATTAACAAAGAATTAAAATTACCGATCACAATAAAGTTGAATATGTTTTGGCATTTCACCATGTGGTACAAATTCTGGTGCTTCTTGTAATTTAAGAATTTGAAAATCAATACATTGACATTTATCAGGCATAACAAAATATGGATCAAGTGGACATGCTGGTTGACCAGGTTGAGTTCTATCAATAAAAAAAAAAGTGAATAAATCGATGACGGCAAAAAATCTGTCATGTCATAAATGTTTGTTTATTGTTTAACCCTTTATCCCCTGTTGGGTTATTCTTGACTCATAGAAACTATTTATATTGAGTAATGAATGCATCGAAGCGCGACGATTTTCCGAGTATTGTATACAACCCTCAATAAACTACAAATTCGTAAACTATTAATTAAATTTCTTTTCATTGTTCTTCAACGAAGATTTGTTAGTTGGAAAACCACATTTTTTTTTTCAAAAAAGTGAAATCGACTTGTTTTCTTGTTAGTTAAATAAACTGATTATTCGGATGTTTGTTAGGTTGTTATATAAACTACTACTACGAACATAATCTATTTACATACAGCCTAACGTCTCTATAGTAGACATCTTTCAGACTTTTCAAAAGTGTCCAGGGTAGTTAAAAATTTCTTGACTTACAAAATGCGACAGGAACATATCCATGACAACGTGAGTCATTTTTGACTCATGCATGATGAATTATATGAGAAATCGTTTTTTTTTCTAGAACTTTCTTTATTTCCGATGTAAACTCATAATACGATCCTCATGCTAAAAACATTATTAGAACTAATAGGATAGAAAAAAACCAAGTATTTCACATCCAATTTCAAGTAACTTCTTATTGACGCCTACAGTTTTTGTTATGATCTTCCTCCGAAAAAAAAACGTCTTTACAAATATCTCGTCATTTATTATCCCTCGAAATGAATCTTTTTTTTAAAAATTATATTTGAATATACATACACACTATTACATTTTCTTGGCATAGCATAACCTTCCAAGCCGGGTTTAACTTTAATATTCGAAATAACATTTCGACATGAACGACATTGTACAGCAATATGTGAAGCTTTTGTTCGTACACTACTTGCTGCAATAACAATACCAACAGTTTTAATTAATTTTGATACATATTCCGACTAGAAAAATAGAAATGATAATAAATAAATATATACCAAATAAACAAACTTTTAAATGTCGAAGATGAAGTGGATGTGCATCATTCATTAACATGATTTGTATATCATGCATATCAATATCATCATCTGGACGTGGACGAGTTATTTCATCAGCAACTTCTTTAGCTGCTTCTTCAAACTAAAAGAAAAATATTTTTCTTTAAAAAAAAAAAGCATTTTTCTTTTTCTTTTTACTAATGGTAAAAGATCTGATGGTTGTTTTCGAAGATGATCACAAAGATTATCATCATAATCACTTAAATGTCTTAATTCAATATCAATCCAATATCTTCGACTATTATAATTTCGTCGTAACATTTCCCTTAAAAATAAAATATTACAAAAAAAATTTTTTTTTTGTCCATTTTCATATAAAAAAAAATTACATACCGATAAATAAAAAGATTATTAATATGAAATTCTCGTATAAACATTTTAAATTTTTTTTTAATCGATGCTCGATTAAGATCACTCTCATTATCAAATTCATTATTATTATCAGCACCAAAATTATCGGAAAAAAACACTCCAACATCATCAAATCCAGCCATCTAGAAACAACAAAAAAAAATTTAACTAATTGAATATTTTTTTTTCTGTTTTCATCTTGATTTTTTTCTATAAAAAAAAAAGAAGAATGTTTACATACACTTAACTCACTCTTTGTACACACGAAAAAAAAACAAAAAGAGAACTGTACGAGTGCGTGTATGGTTTAGGTTAATCCCACGCGGCAAATAAGCAAAAGACAAAAAAAAAGCATTGTTTTATATGAACAGAAAAAAGAAAAACTGCTTTCAGTAATAAATTATAATTATACAAATGTCTGAATTTCTTCCTAGATTCTTTGAACACGGTCAGCTTGTACAACAGGCATATTTTTACGTATTTCATTTTGACCATATTCTTTATAATCAAATGTACAATTATGTTCATTTGCGTAACGATGTAATGAACAGAACTGACCACCACAGCGACAATCAAAACCTAGAATTTTGAAATTATTTAAAAAAACAAAAAACACAAAGAAATTAATCATCTTACCAGTTAGTCCAAGTTTTTTATTACATGTGCCCCATGAACATCGATTACGTTTTTTCTTTTCTACATTAAGAGGAGAAGATGCTAGAAGTATAAAATTAATTTTTTTTTTGAAATTTCTTTTAATTCTTTTTTTTACTTAGTGATTTAGATTGTTCAATATTTGAATCATTCTTTGTTATCGCATCATTTTCAGTTGACATGACTGGTGCAGATGCAACATGATGAAGATGACTAGCATCAGTTTCTTGCTGTTGGTGTTGTTGTAAGTGATCATCACTGTTATCATTTTCTATCGAACTACTTGTATTATCTTCAATGACTTGATCTTGAAGAAGATTTTGAGATGTCACAGGAGTATTAGAAGATGAGTAATAACCTATTTGTTTTTTTTTTATTAGAAGAGAGAAATTTTATTTTATTTTTTTGAAAAAAAATTAATAAAACATACTGTTAAATGAATTCGTTCGTCCAGCATTATATGAACGATTAACATGTTCACGATAACATTTTGAACACATTCCTTCAAATTGTGATGAACCGTAAAAACCACAATTATTTGTACAAAATGTTGGATTAGATTCGGGTTGCTCCATTGCTTTTTGTTTTTACAAAGAATATACAAGACGTTTTTAAATACTGTGTTACACTGATTAGTCTAGAAAACAAAAAAATATCCATCATTTATAGTTATGTAATGATGACGTTGTGCGATGTCACGTGTGAATCATAGGAAATAAAAATATGCGTCATATGATTGTCATTATATACGTACATAAAGGAAAGAAAGAATTCTTTTTTTCTATTCTTTGTCTTGACATGAACAAAAAACAATTATATAGCGAAAAAGAGAGAATAATAACAACAATCAGAGATGGTGTTTGTACTTTTAAAATCAAGGGCAATAGGATATTCTAGACGTAATGAATATCATATGATGCAAGTCTGAAAAAAGAAAGAATCGACCTATTTTTAAAGATTTTTGTGCAATACCATAAAAAGTCCTTGATAATTCATGAAAAAAAACTTCTGATATTCCTCAATATCAAAATTTCATCTCTATATATCATATCTCACATATATTCAATAGTGTGGAATTGCTGAAATAAAGAAATGAACTGAGAATGTTGAATCTAAATGACAGGAAATGTATATGGACAGTAGACAAAAAACAATGTAATCACATGTGATCAACCATAAATTGACAAAATTGACCTCTAGTGAGATGTCAGTTTTAAGGAAGAAAACTCGAAAATAAATAGTCGCTAGAGACACAAGTCCAATTGAAAATAAAAAATTCTCGAATAAACAAAAAAAAATAATAAAAAATTAATTTTTCATGTTTATTCTAAAGAATTAATTAGTGTAAATATTAGATACATGTCGCTAACAATCATTCATTCGATAAGACAGATGGCGTTAGACAACAACCTTGAATGCAAAAAGGAATATTTGTTGGTTTCATAGTCGTCCTATATTTCCTGAAATTTGATTCTTATGAAAAGAATCACATATATTATTAAAAAAAGTGCTTTGTGTGCATGCAAATATCATGACTAGACTGCTTATTACGAGTACTTTTAACATTAAGTACCGCAAATAAGAGCAAAGTACTCAATGGACTTACGGTTTTGATAAACTCCATTGTTTTTTTTTGTGTTACTACTGACAAGATGCGAAAAAAGTAAAAGTAAATTGTGGATTGGTATTTTGCTTTGGATTCCTATTAAAAATGCTGAATAATACAATACGAAGAGCGTAGCGACTCTATATATGTATACTACTCATTTTTCATTGTTATCGCAATGTTGAATAAGTTATGAATCAATCGATCCTTTTTTGTATATGCTAAAGTTGACTAATTCTTTGTTATTGAAACATGACCAAAACGAATTATTAAAGTACACGGGATGGAAATTTGATTCTTCCTCCGCTCAGTCGATAGACAGCAGACACTAAGCAACGAAAAATGTTCAATGTTTTTGATAAAACTTTTTTCAAGTAAAAAGCTTTTCCTAATGAGTTAGTATTCGACTTTGATTGCGCTTAATATTCTTGAGAAAATTAATGCTTAAACATAATAATTATATTGTTTAGCTGTGTATTGTGTCCTTCATCACTCATGTGACAGATGTATTAGCAAGGAAACATCAAGACCATGAAAGACACCTGAGTAATGTCCTTTCATGTCTCAGCTTGTTTTATCGGAGTAGTTGAGGACGAGTAAACAATGTTTCTCCTTTGTTATATACTGTTACGATGACCTTAGTAAGGTCACTACCTGTTCAAGGACCATGACGAGCATGTCCGCGAAAGAGAGAATCTATAGCAGGTTTAAAATAAAACATAATTAGATTTAAGATACCTTTTCTTTACTCTTCGTTCTCACTCACTGTAACATACACTATGATTGACATCTTTCATCATCGACATGCATTAATATCAGGTAGGAATTCATAAACCGAAATATATTGATGAATTCCCTCTTTTATAATGACAGAAGCTTTATCATGTTTCACACTTTTTAATTTCACTGATACTGTGCTAACAATTTTTTATGCTTTTACATATTTTGATTATATACTTTGATGTATGTATAACAGTTATGAGAAGGCATATAGTTTCTAGTGTAAAAACAAAAAGAAAATATTGTTTTTTTTCCCCTAAATCTTTATTCAGTTTAGTTTTGTTTATAACGATGTGAGCATGTAGGTGTGGAGTAACTAGAAAATAATCGAACATAAATTTTTTTGTTTCTTCAAAAGAAACGTTTTTCTAGCATTGTTTTCCATAATTTGAAAGTATTATTCTTAATTAGTTCATCAGATAGTATAGAGAAAAAAAAACACTCTACAATCTGTAGGATTTATCAGGTCTCTAAAGATGTCTTTTATCAGAAATCAATGTCCTAAATAAATAGTGCTTTAGAATTCTTATATTTCTCTAGAGTGACACTATGCATTGAGAACATTTACGATTTAATAAATTTTAAATGATATAAAAATATCTAAATTTTTAATAATATAGATGATATTTTTTCACAAAAAAATTCAATAGAATTATTTGTAGGATTTGTTACTTTATAGATTTCGAGAATAAAGAACTAATCTTCTAATTTTATTTCTAAAAAAAAATATTCCATAAAGTTGCTGAGGAATTTCAACAAAAAAGAAAATTGTGACTTCCTTCCACTGATCAATAGAGAATAATTTTCAATTATAAAAGTATCTTAGATCTTCCTCTAGTACTACAATATCATGGGCTTTGACTTTGACGTAAATTTTCTATCGATATATATATATACTAAAACCCTCGATATTATATCCATTAGCTTGTCAATATAGTCTAAATATCAATAAGGAAATATGTGTAGGCAAGAAATGTACTTACAAAACCATTACTACATTACAAGTGCACATACTCTTTAAGACTGACAAATAATTGAAAAGAGAATTACTTATGATCGGCTCTTTTTTTATTCTTCCGGAAATTTATTGTGCATGAAAAGGCAAAATGAAGTATGAAGGTTTTCAATTTAATTCATTATAAAATGAATTGAATTTTTTTTATGCATTTTTAATAATAAATTAATTATTTTTGCATAAAGTATTAGATTTATTTTTCAAAAAAACAGAAAAAAAAAATAAACAAACACTTTTAATTTAAATAAATTCATGAAGCAGAAAATATTTGCTTTATGTTAAAGTTCATTCGATAGATATGATCAAAATATTATGAACAATCCAATTGATCCATTTCGTCACATGCATCTATTATAAAGAAAAATATTCGAATTTTAATCGAGAGAAAAAAAAAGAACAAGAGATTTTTATTACATTCAGGAAAGAGAGATGTTCGACAAGATGGATTAACCGAATCTGAAGTTGATCGTTGTTGAGACTATGAATAAAAATTAATTATTCGAAAAAAAATAGAATAAAATTTAAAAATCATTTGTATATGCTTATACCGAATTATTGATTGAATTAATATGATCAATTAATAAATTAATTTCACGATAAATTTCTTCTGAATAATTTTTCTCACTCATACTTTGTAAAGTCTATAACAAATAAATTAATTCGATTGATTTTATTTTTTTTTTTTTTGTTTTTCAAATTTTATTTTTCTTACTGTTAATAATTTCGCTGAATTAAACATTGGTAATAATGCTTCAGTATCTCTTTCATTAAAGATATTACGTAATAATGATAATAAACAAATTAGAAATCGTTCATCTGTACATTGTTCAAGTAATGAATAAATTCGATCAATTGTTAATCCTACAAAATTTTTCATTTTTTTGTTTTTTAATTAAAAAGGAAATTCTATATTTTTTACCATTAATTATATCTTGTTTAATTTTAAGTGTTGATAAGTAAGAGAGATTACGTAAAGCCCATATACCATTAATAGATAATTCGTGATCCGGATGTGTAAGAAATGAAAGAAGTATGTTAAGAATACCACCCGAAAGTAATCTCTAGATAGAAGAAAATTTTATTTTATATAAAAGACAAAAAAAAGAAATAAAAAATTTAATTAAATTTACTGTACGACAAGTAGAAAATTCTAGTACACTATTACTAATAACAGATGATGCAATTTTAACTAAATGTAAATCACTTGATTTAATAGCATCGAGTAAAATATCACAAATTGTATCATTAAATGTTGTACGAAGTTGATGAACACTTCGAGATAAACCATGAAATAAACAAAGAGATGCTAATTGTAATGATAAATGTGGTGAATGATAACATTCAATTGCTGTTAAAATTAAATCTAAAATTTAGTATATCGTCTAGTTAATTTCAGAATTATGAAAAATAAAAGGTCAATATTGTCCGTACGAAGAGTTAACTTAAGAAAATGATTACTTAGAACCTCTGTAGTCAATAGTATGTGATCAAGTAAAGGATACCTATGTGGAACAATATAACCATTAAACTATGCTAATAGTTTTGAAAGGTGATCATATTGAGTAGTCAGTGTCACTATTTAATCATTTTCGCACTGTTCTATTCTTAGAATTTGCTAATAAAGTGAAATATCCTCTCATAAATGAAGAAGTTCAGATTGAAGATCAATCCTGTTGTTGATAGTTGTAATCAACTTCTTTTCTGCATACTCTAACCTTCTGAATAATGACTAAACATGAGCTGTACCATCTTCTTCATATCTATTTAAAGCACATGAATCGTGACAATATAACATTCGACGTAAGTTTTACACATTCATAAAAAGTATTGTTCTTAATGCGAAGTGTTGGTCCTGCTGGGATCACCTTGCCCATATCCAGTATTGGCCGATGCTATGTTATGCATCTTAAATTCAACTTACTCTGCACTTGAAATTCTATATTCAATGTACTAATTCGAAAGATAGTATTGTTTGAAAAAAAAAAAAAAAAACTTTAGATTTTTAATATTCTATCTCGTAAGATGCTTTCTATTTGTAAATCGAATAGAATATTTCTTACTTTCTTGATCGGCAATTCGTTTTTTAATATCTTCATGATGTGATGCAAGAACTGCAAGTAATGTTAAAGCTGATGAACGTATTTTTATAAGTATTGTTTCATCAATATTTTCATCAAAAATTTTATTTGGTGTAAATAAATAACTAAATAATTTAGTTAATAATTGTTCTGTATACATTGCTAGATGATGTAATGTACTATTACCATTTAATAAATAAATAAGTGTATCAAGACATGCTATATATAAATAAATACATTTATTTATAATTGATTTTGTACATAAATGAATAAGTGTTGTTAATGATTTATGAGATATATGTGAATCATCACATGATAGTACTTTTGTTTTGCAAAGATTAACAAAAAATTTCGATGCATAATATGATATTATAACTGGACGATTGATTTTATTTAATAAATTTGATATAATTTCACATAATGTTTGATTTGTTTTAGTAGATATTGTTGTTTGTAATCGTTGAGCAACGGCAACATTTTCATAACATATTGAACAGAAAAATTTTAAACAAACTCCTATCAGATATTCATTGGCCAAACTAAAAAAAAAACGAAAAGATATGTAGATGATATTTCTCAAAAATGACTATTATGATAGAATATCTTTTTCATCATATTTCTTAAATTGCTTTATTGTTTTCGAAGAAAAAAAGAATGACCATTAAAAGATACTTGTTCTGTCACTGTAACTTAAATAAATTCATTGCTCGTTCTTTTAATTCCTAAACGTGCTATTTAGAAAACCTAAACCATCTAACAGAATTTGTCTTCTTATTTTTTTAAATCGCTTCGAAACTCTCAATTAGTATTAACCTGATTGAGATTCAACATTAATACAGATTTTAAAATATGAAATATCATTAGTATTGTTATCTTTCACAGAGAAAATTAAAAAGTATTATTCAGTCATTGATACGCTAGTTAGATTTAGCGATGTGCTGAGCAACCGTATCCTGTCGAGCGAGAATAGGAAAATTTTTCTCAGCGAAGGTACAGAGCACTGAAAAAGCTTACTCCGTACATCTCTACTATGATATTATTTTGCTGTTTATCACTTTTAGAGTTTTCCAACTACGGAAGGATTAAGGAAAAGTGAGATAGCTGACGATCGGTAAGTAAAGCCCATGAGGTTTAGAGGTTCCAGACCAGGGACCAATCGAACGGGCTCTATCAGTAAATCTATCGTTTAAATATAACTAAATTCAATGTGACTATTTTGTTAAAGAATAGAAAGAGAAAAGTATATCTAGAATAATTTAAATAAAACATTATAGACATAGTTTAACTATTCAAAATTTAAATTAAATATTGCTTTGTCTATAAAAACAAATGATTTGATGTTAATAATAAATGATAATGATTTCAGCTACAATGTTTTATTCAACGGAAGAGTAAACTACATCCGAAATTAATGATCATCCTTTTGGGAATCTTAAATGTTTTCATTGAAACAAAGACTTATTATTTCCTGTATTCTTTTTCTTCTCTCAGACATTGATTTATTTAATAATCTATAAAAACTCTATTATTTACTCATATACCTGACTAGATTAATTTTGTTATTATAAAAAATATTTTCTACAAGTAGATGCATAATAGGTTCAATAAAATCTTTTTCTACAATTTGATTTTGTCGTTCATTATTAATACATAAACAACATAAAATTTCTATAATTGATATTTGTGTTGATTTTGATATTGATAATAAACGATGAAATATATTAAGTGTTTGAGAATTTTCAAATAAAATATCTACTGGAAAATAATTATCATTCAATAAAAAATTTTCTCTTTGTGATATAAATGTTATTGTTTCATGTTTATTTTCATCATATAAAAGTCTAAATGGTATTGGAGTTAAATATGGATTTGAAAAAATTTTTGAAAGAAAAAATGAACGTAAACAACGAAGACATGATTCATAAAAATGATTTGAATCAATTTGTATTGTTAATAATATTAATATTTGTTCGATAAAACCAAGTTCAATAAGATGATTTAATAAATTTTTATTATTTGATTTAGCAAATGATGATATACAATCAAGAATTTCTATAAGAATATTAATATTTATTGTTGATGTATATTCTTTAAGTAAATTATAAAGAATTTCAAGTATACCAACATGATAAAAAGCTATTTTACATCTTTTTGAACCAATTATTAAATTTTTAAGCTTAAAAAAAAACAAGTATACAAATAAAAACATTCAAAGATTATAATTTGAATTAATTTATTTTACTTCAATAAGAGCTTGAATTCGTTCGTGTTGTTCAACATTATCAACAAGTTGTTTAAGTATATATTCTTCTTGTTGAGTCGGTAGATCATCATCATACGAAGGCATTATTGATTTGTTTTTATATTCTTGAAAATATAAATCAATACTAATTACTAATATAACAAGTTACAAAAGAAGAAGAAGAAGAAGAGCGTCGAAATATGTGATTGGTTTTTTATAATAGCAAATGAAAATTTATTTATTTATTCTCTATTACGAACAAACTAATGAGGTTTTTTTTCTCTCTAATATTTATATTATTCTATTAAATTTAAGATATAAAGAAAAATATGTTAGTTGATATGTTTGAATATTTATAATTTGTATCTTTCAAAAAAAAAAAATATCGAATGCATTAATGAGTTATTTATTATCAATAAAATCTCAGATGTTGACTTGTTTGTTTGTTGGTAATGTCAAAGACATAATACATCAATTATCTTTTTTTTCCTTCCATTGATACATGCGTAGATAGTATTTTTTTTTAAACGTCGCTATACAAGATCCGTTGCCTAGGCACAAGCTGTTTATTACTGGAGGGTGAGAAAAAACGAGACAGAAAAAAAAGCAAAAGAAGGAATAGAAACGCTTTAGGGAAGTTCGATTCGCATTTGTTCTTGTTCTTTTTCTTATTTGTAACCCTTTCCTTCTTTTTTGTCGTTGTTCGGCACATTGTACTGTGCCCTATACGCGATGTCGACCACATGAATTACTCATCATATGCACACATCCATTTAACCATTTTTCTTTTTTTTTCTTTTTTTCTCTCTCTCTCTGTTGTTTGTTCTTACATCCATATAGACATACTAGTTATAGCAACAACGATTCGAATGTTGTTAGTTTATTTTTCGTTCTCTTCTTTTATTTCGTAGAACTATCCATTCAATAATAGTAGTCTCTATTTTTAATGAATCATATTTCTCAAGGCTGAAGACAGGACAACAAAAAAATCATCATTCTTTCCCTCTCATTTTCTATTATAGGTCACAATTGTGCTGTCTTTTTATGTGTCGGGCATGTTTGGCAGCTCGTGTGACGTTGACCAATCGAGTTCAATTGTTCTTCTCGTTATTTATTAACAGGTTTTTCTATTTCTTTTTATTTATTTATTATAACTTAATATTATAAATGTTTATCTTATTTATTTTTTAAGATTTGTTATCACTCACTATTGTTAAAAACATTTTAAACGTGCTCGAAAAATTAATTATGTGTGCTGTCGTCGACATTCCTTTTTGATACCGACTCCTGTTGTACTTTTTCATCATATATGTAAGATTTTTAGAAAACAAAAAAAAAAAAAAAAAAATAACTAATATCTTTGTTGTTTTTTTTTCTATTTAGAAAACAAAAACTTGAAACTCTTCAAATTAATTCATTTCTTGCCTATTACAATATTTCAATAATTCACGTGTTTTGTTTTTTTGTTGGTTTTTTCATCGCATTTGTTCATCACATCTAGACAATTCATCTTGTTATTATTATCATCATATATACATATTATTCACACACATATCTATAGACAGTAGTTCAATTTTGTTTCTTTTTTTACTACAATGACACAAGCAACAGTGAGTGAAAATTATATTTTTATTTATTCTTCTTCATCTTCTTTTTTTTATTATCGATAGAATAACCAAAACAGAAATAGATAGACATATGAAAAAAAAAAAGAAGGCTTAAAATAAGGTCTTCTATTCTACTCATATAACCCCTATATATATATAAACACATGCATTGTCTCATTTTTTGTTCTCTTTTTCGGATACGAATAGTTTTTTTTTTTTTTTTTTTTTTTTTTTTTTTGTCAACACAATGTATTTATTGATGTTGATAATAATAATGCTGGTGTTATCATGAAAATCGTTGACAACGAATGGTTATCCTAAGTATTATTGATACTTCTATATAAGAACGTTCTCTTCCTCTTTATTACTGAATATATAGACGTCATATGATAAGTTTCTATTAACTATGGATAATGAGATGGTCGAAGTTCATTTATATGGCTACAATACATATGCTACATCAAACTTGAACACAAAGGAAATTATATTTTGCGTACAAAATGCCAATATTATTGGTGATATCGGTAGTTATGGCCACTATGACCTTGTTAACAGCAATGATATCTATCTTCCATCATTGTTTCTAGTTGATCAGCAGGAGGCTGTTGTCTCCCATCCATATAATCATCATGTGAGAAGAAGAAAACGAGAAGACAAAGCTCTCTTGTCCTTCGAATAAGGGTATAGTTAGAGAAGAGGATGGATGGATGGTAAAAAAGCAGACAGACAGAAAAAGAGAACAAGGATACACAAAAGCGATGAGGCAGCAAAATGACGAAGAAGAAAAAGGAAAAGAGACAAAGGCAACAAAAAATATTTGTTTGTTTTACATAATTTTTTTTGTTCAAGGTAAATGTCGGCAATAGTGCCGTCAAAAATCTCAATCCCAATGCTCAACAATTTTCATCGCGCGATTTTAATCATGGAACAGTACTAGCCGGAACAACGGCACCCAGTGGTATATTTTATATTTCATTTTTATTTAAAAATATAAATATAATAATCTTTTTTTTTTTTTTATCTTTGTATATAGATGATTCGTACACAGACTATCTTGATACTGGCACAGGATCTTATCTTCGACAACATCAATCTCAAATTTTTCCGAGTAAATTTCAATTATTTTTTCTATTTACTTCCTATGTATATATATATATATATATATGTATGTATATGTTGATAATTCAGGTTTTTATTATGAGGGTAAGAGATAGTATATGCATCTGTATGTATGTGTGGAAACATTGCGAAAGAGGATAAAAAGAAAAAGAGAGCAGTCATTCAGTTACTTTTTCTTCTTTACCATGCTTCTTTTTCTCGGTTATGTGTCCCGCTACTCATTTCTCAATCTCTCTCTCGCGCGTTCTCCACACACGAGCGCACGAGAATATGTAGCTTCTTCTCCTCCTGATTGCCAACACATACACTATTTGCTTTGAACAACACATATACACATTTTCTCTCTCTCTCTCTCTCTCTCTCTCGTGCTGTCTTTCATTCAATGAATTTATGAGGTGTATACTCATTTAAAATATCTTATTTTTTTTTTGTTTTATCTTCATTATTCTCATAGTCGATCCATCGTCAATCGATCCTCTTCAACAACAACAACAGCATCAACATCAACAACAACAACCAGAATCAAATTTTGCTGTACATGAACATGCGGCTATGCTTGATACAATTGATCATCAACAAACACCACTTTTAAATCCAAATCATTGTCATCATCCTCAACAACATTTAAATCAGACAATGCCAGGTAACAATAAACTAATAGTCCAAAAGAGAATGAAAAAAATTTGTGATGCAATCTTAACGACAGAGGTCATCGATCATCGCTCTTCATATATTAAGGCGTGTGTATGTATATGCAATAAGCCTGTCAGCGTACTCCTCTTCGTTATCACTTTAGTTCAATACAAAAAAAAAAAAAAAAAAAAAAAGAAGAAGAGGGAAAGAAAAAGAAAGCATTTAATTGTTGTTGAACGGGAGCCAAAATGTGATGAACGGCTTATACATAGAGGATAACCGTCGTCGATTTATGTTCGCGCGGACGAGAATGAGAGAGAAGAACAGAACATATACACCGTCAGGTTTGAATTGCAAGCTACGTGCGCATACATACACACATATCGAATTGTTTTGCTTCGTCGTTCTTTTTTTCTTCTCTCTCTCTCTCTCGTGCCTATGTACATATGCGAACAACAATCGAAAGAGAACATTACAGCGCGCGCGCAAGAGAGAGAGAGAGATAGTGTCGGCACCATGTCTTCCTTCACTTGACGCAAGTCTTTTTTTTTGTATATGTGCATATATAAGAAATAACAACAATAAAGATGATCTATGAACGACGACGTGTCGTTAATCAACAATCAGGTTTTGTAGAAATAATAAATTTATTTTTTCTCTTTTTTTTTTTGTTTTTTATTTATCGAAATAATTTCGTGTTTAGATGAAGAACAACAAACTCATCAAATACAATCAGCATCGGAACAATTACGACAACTTTTAAGAAAACAACTTGAATATTATTTCTCTAGAGAAAATATGATTCATGATACATATTTACAATCACAAATGGATGCTGATGATTATGTACCAATAGCTATAATTGCAAATTTTAAACTTGTTAAACGTCTTACACATGATTTACAATTAATTGTTGATGTTCTTAAAGGTATTTTATTTAAGACAAAAAAAACAAAAAGAATTTAAAATAATTTTGTTGTTTTCCTTAGAATTACCATCTGTTGAAGTTGATGCCGAAGAAAAAAAAGTTCGTTCAGCTGATGAAAAAAAATATCGTTTAACACGTAAACGTTGTATTATTATCTTACGTGATGTACCACTTAATGCAACTGAAACTGAAGTATCAGAATTATTTTTAAATGAACATTGTCCTGTACCAGCAGTTGCTTGCGAAAGAGTTTTAGAATCAGGTAATTCTGATTGTTGGTATGTTACATTTAATAGTGAAGATGATGCCCAAAATGCATTTTTATATTTAACACGAGAAAATGTTTCAATACGTGGTCAAAAAGTTTTGGTAAAAGAAAAAAAAATCTTTTCTTTTTTGTTTTAAATCAAAAAGATATTTTTGTTTTTCAAAGGCACGAATGAAAACACGTCTATGGCAAAAACCATCATCTGTACCAAGTACAAATCCAACAACACCTATTTCACCACCAATAACATCAAATAATAGTGGTGCAACAAGTCCACCACCATCACAACAACAACAACAACCTATTCAAACATATCAAAATTCAACATTTGTTCCACAACAACAAGCTCCACCACAACCTCCACCACATCAATATTCATCTCATTCACAACAACAACAACAATTTAATCAACAACAAATTCCACCACCACAACAACAACAACAACAACATCCATCTGTTTATATGCAAACAGCAGCTAATACTCATCCAAATCAAACATCAATACTTGGAAATATTCAATCACAAACAAATAATTATCGTCATCCAATACATTCATCTGTTGGTCCACCTCCACCACCACAACATGTTGCTGCTCAATTTTCTACAACAAATCAAACACAACATCCAACATCAATTGATCATGCACAAGTATTACAACATTTACGTATGAGTTATCAAAATTATGGTGCTAATACACCATTTGATCGTACTGCATGGACAACAGCACATGCACAAGGTGTACAAACAACACAACCAACACTTTCATTTGCAACAACAGCTCAACAAGCCAATATGGCTTCATATACAGCATCAATTCATCAACAACCACAATTTATTACTGCAAATGTAAGTTGAAATTTAACTATTCAAAATAGATTAAAAAAAAATATTGAAATCAAAAATCTAATTTTATTTTCTCGTTTAGCATCCTGTATTTCCAGCAGGAAATTTATGGTATATGCCATCTGGTTATCAAACAGCTGAGGCCTATCCAACAATGGTATGTTAGGATTATACATATTTATTTTTATATATATATATATATATAATCGAAGTTATGAGATAAAGAAATTAAACTGATTACAAAAAGGGACTCATCTTTTTTTATAGATTGTACCTCTCAATTCTTTAATCCGAGTAGGGAAAGTTTTGTATTATTATTTTTTCTTTATTTCTCTTGTGGATGCTTTGATGTGCGTGCATACCCAACCATGTTTTTTTTCTATTGCCAAGCTCAAATTTGTTCTTGAGAATAAATTCATTGAACAATTAACAAAAAAATTCAAAGAGATCCTCTTTTCTACTTGTTTTTTTTTCACTCTATGTATTTGCATGAATTATATACATAATTATTTTTAAGCACGAGGATCTCTTTTTAAAGTTTTTATATTTGAGAATTGAAATTTGAGCGAGTTTAAGAAAGTATATTCGATAATACTAGCATGAAGCTTCAGTTATTTTTATTTTTTGTTTCTTTTACGCTCGTCAAGAATAGTTTAATATATTCTCTTCTAATTATCTATGTTTATTTTCTAGGCTTATAATGGTGCGAATAAACCAAAAACTCGAATGACACGTGAATATCCACTAACATCTAAATCACGGTAAATAATTCTCTAAGAAAATTTTTATACATTGACTTTCTTATTGTTTTTTTTTTGATTTTTAGTACTTCAACAAAACCATCTGGTACTCGTAATTCTCGTCATGAAGGACTTCAAATGAATAATGAACATTCAAATGAATTACTTGATTATTGTCAACACAGTACTCCACAGTTCGTATAATAAATTCAATGAAATTCTTTTATTTTTTTATTCGTTTATTATTCAAAATTTTGTTTCTAGTTCCGAAGATAGTAGTTCACCAGTTCCTCGTGCCGAGGCAGTCATTAATCGTACTAATGAACCTATAGCCCAACCAGTATCAAATACATCATTACAACATGTTCAAGCATATCCTACAGGTACAATTGATACGTCTACTAATGAAACTATTGATCATTATCATCATCAATCAACAAATGATATGTAAGAAAAATAAACTCAGTCGAAAAAAAAATTATTTATTTATTTATCTTAGTTTATATACTAATGCGAACAGTCATGTCTCACAACAACAACAACAAGGATCATCTGATACGAATCCATCTCAAGAACAAACAAATGATTCACAAAATTTAGGCAATTATTCAATTCAATCTTCTTATCCAACAGTAAGAAATTTAGGTTTTTTTTTGTTTTGAGAATTTTGCATCAAAAATCTTTTTTCTTTCTTTTAGTCAACAACAATTGAAAACTCCAATTTAAATTATCAACCATTAGAACAACGAAAACCACCATTAACTAATCAAGATCAACAACAACAACAACAACAACATTCTCAAATAAATGAAAATCAACAGCAACAACAACAATCAAATAAAAAACTTAATCAACAACAAACATCAATCCGTCCATTAATGTCACGTGAAAATCGATCAACACAAAATTCCAATCGTCCATCATCGTCATCACAACAAGGACGATCTCAACAACAACAATCACGAATTAATTCAAATTCAGCAACACCATTAACTGTTACTATCCCTAAAGTATCATCAGCAACATATTACAATCAAACATCATCATCATCACCACAATCACCAAATTCAAATCTAAAGTATATCAATAAAAAAAAAATTTTTTTTTTGATTATTTACATATTTATTATTTTATAGGAATCAACAACAACAACAACAACAACAACAACAATCTAATGATAATAATGGTCCACGTACTTATGCTGATATGCTTAAAGTTAAACAAACTCCACAACAACAACAATCAACAGATTCAACAAAATCTCCAACAAATGAAACAAATGATATAACATCACCACGTGATCAATCACCAATAAATAATAATAATAATAATTCAAAAACTGATTCCGTATCAATTAATACAGAAACAAATGGTCCATTATCACCATCATTATCTGATATATCACCATCAAATCAAACCGAACCACAAATAAATTCACAATCATCAACAATAAATGATTCTTCAAATTCTATTCGTCGTAATAGTTCAGCATCCGATCATCCTCAACAACAACAGCAGCAACAGCAACAGCAACAACAACAACAACCACAACAACAACAACAACAACAACAACAACATACATCATCACCATCACATCAACAGTATAATAATTCACGTGGTCGTGGTCGTGGAGGAAATTATCGTTATTCACATGAACGTCGTTCCGGTTCAAGTAATAGTTTAAATCGTGGCGGCGGTGGCGGTGGTGGTGGTAATCGTGGTGGAGGACGTCGTACAGTAAATAATAATGCTGGTCCACCAACATATCAATCACGTGGTAGTGGTGGACGCGGTAATGCGAGATTTTTTGATCGATCACGAGGAGGAGGTGGTAACTATCACAATAGTAATCAAACGGTGCATCGTTTCACCGGCAACACAGGCAATGTTGAATCACAGGTTCACTATGCCGAATAAAAAAAAACACAAAAAACAAAAAAGACATGATTTATTTCTTCTCGAGTTGTTCGTCTTTCGTTGCTTATTTATTTGTAGTTCTTTGTCTGTTAAAAAATGAACCCAAGAAAAAAAACAAAAAGAAAAATCTACAAAAAAAAACTAAAAATGTCAGAAAAAAATAAATAAAACAAAACGTTTTGTGTGTGTGTGTTTGTTCCACTCTTTCATTTCTCGTATCGTCTACTTTTTGTAACGATTTAAAAAAAAACCAAAAAAAAACGTTTCTTTCTTTTTTCTGTTTTTGTTCTCATCCTATTCTGTATCTGTGTGTGTGCGCGTGTGTTTGGTGCTCTTGATTTCTCTTTTGCTTTTTTTTTTCTTTTCGTTTTGTCTTCCGGAGATAAAAAAAGTTTTTTTTTGTCTTTGTCGTTGGTTTTCTTTTTTTTTCGTTTTGGATTTAACCGCTCAACCCATTTCGGACTCGCACACAAGAAAACAAAAAAACATTGTAGTCTCCCGGTGTGTGCTTTTTCTTTTTTTTTTTCTTCTTCTTTCTTTTCAAAACAATATCCATCTTAAATGTTCCTTTTGTTGTTTTCTTCTTTTTGTCAACTTGTGCCTGTTTTTGTCCATCTTTTGGTTTTCTTTTTTTTTCTTGTTTGTTCAGTTGACTGATTTGTGTGTATGCGTCGAAAGTTCTTTTTTTTTCTTTTCTTTTCTTTTTTTTTTTTGTTTTGTTTTGGCTTGTTTGTGTTCAGAGAAAATTATGATGGTGATGATGAAAGATCAGAAGATATTAAATGTGTGTGCGTGAGAGAGAGAGGAAAGAAAAAAAAGACGGAAAGATCGATTTTTTTATACAACTAATAAAAGATTTATGACTTCCTCTCTCGCGGAAAATGTTGAGCATTTCGTTCTATTGCTTCAATGGCAAGTCGTACACGATTTATTGATGAAGATTTTGTTGTATTAATTGTTGATTGAGACGGTTTAGAATTTTCAATTAATTGATGAATAGAAGATGACATCTGAAAAGAAATGTTATTTGATTCTTTTTTTTTTTTTGTTTCTAGTGACAGTAGTAACTTTTGTTGTCTGACAGATAGAAAAGAAATTTTGCTGTTCTAACTTATCGAGAAGAATCAGAAATAACTATTTAGATTTGGATAGATATGATATTCTTGTAGATACTGAAGTAATAACAGATATTCTAACTGTTGACATAGAAGCGAGTAAGGATATACACGATAGAAGCAGTTAGTGTTCGTATAAGATTGTTACTTTATTTGATTAGTTATAGAGAATTTCGCATATCAGAAAATTCTGTTGGCGAAGAAAAAGCTCGTTAGCACAGTACCGTTATGGCTGAAATATGAAACTCTTATATTCCATATAAGCTAGGATATAATTTAGTATAAATTGTTTTTTTTAATATCATGAACAGGTGTTCTCAATTAATGGACCTACCCTTCAAAATGTCCGATTTTTTGCCCGTACAGCTTCGTGATAAAAATAAGCAGACAACGTCGTTGCAAGGTGAATAGGATTCGAAAAGAAACGATCTGGCGACAGGTAATTACAGCTGGTTTTGTTCTTCCTCCATCCAGTCCATCACTTCTAGAACTCCGAGGATAAAAGCATTTTCTGCGAGAGGTTTCCCCAATGAAAAAATTTATTTACTTATTAATAGTGATCAAAACTATTGACAAAATATTAAAATGTTTTTCTTTCTAATTATTTTCGATATGATTGAATGATGAAGAAAAAAACAATATAGGAGAATAGTCGAAATGGATGAAGCATTACATGAATATAATGACAGTTCTCACAAACTGAAAGAGTTACAGATAGATACTGAAGCAATAGCTATACAACGAAAAAAAATATTTCTTGTTTCTCTCGTTGATCTTAAAATTTCAATTGATGTTGTTCGCTATGCAAGCATTCTGCGTAACTACGAGTGAGCGTAGTCTGTAGTGGAAGATGAGAGTATAGAAAATTAGTAAATATAGTAACATCATTTTAAATTGAACAATTTTTAATTTTCATCAAACAAATGAAACGATTTTTCTACAAGTGATTATTTCTCTAGAGATCTTTCTACTTTGATAAATTGCACATAATTCATTGTGCACATTTTTAAAATATGATGAAAATTTCCCCGAGACCGAGTAGAAATAACTAATGATGAGTGATACCGGTCGTTTTTGGTCCCGATCTTGTCCATATCTAGCAGTAATGCTCAGCTGTATTTTATTTATCTTTCGATAGTTTTGTCTTAATATTGTTTTTTAATGATTCTTTTAATTCATTTTAAATTAATTTGATAGATTTTCTTAGCTTACGGATAAATCTTCTTGTTTATTTGCTATTGTAAATGACCAACTTAAATTAGATTCATATGCATATTTATCTTGACTATGATTTGAACAATTATCTATTGCTTTAATTTCAATATCAGATGATGATTGTTCGATATGTTTATCATCATTGTCTAATTTTAATAAATGAATATTTTTTTCATTTTGTTGATGTTCATCAGGTAACCATGTAATATGAAATTTATTTTTTTCTTTCCATTCATTAATATTTTGATTAATATTTATTATTGAATTAATCTTATTATTATTATTATTATTTTCTATTGAAATAATTGATGAAAATAATTGAATACTTTCAAGAAATAATTTTATATGTTCATATTCAATTGAATCCATTTGTAAACATTGTTGTTGATAATTTGTTTGAAATATTGAAAAATTATTTTGAAATTTTTTTGTTAAATTATTTTTATATGAATGTTGTTCAATAAAATTATTAAATAAATCGAATTGTTTTTTATAATATTTTAATTGAGAATGAATAGATTTTATTGAATGAGTCTTTAACCAAATTGAACATTTTATTGTTAAATATTCAAATTTATTTAAAGATTTTATTAAATTTTCTGAACGATTATTTAATTGACTTGTAATTTGAGATAAACATGAATATATTTGATTTGATATTATACTCTTGTCTATAAGATATTTATTTAAATTTGATGATATTCTTTCTAAATGTTCATATTCATCTAAGAGAATATTTTCGAAAATTGTACAATTTCTACGTATTAATTTAATTGTTTGAATCGATAAATTAAAACGTTCAATAAGACGTAAGGGATGTGGTGTTAGACAACATCGACAAGATGACATCGCAAAAAATATATATATATAAATAAAATTTATGCGCGCAATATTAAGAACAATGCTTGTTTTTGAGATCCTTTGAGTGTTTTTTTTATTTATTTCAACACCAAAACCATTTCGTTATGACTTTATTTTCCTGTGTAGTCTATTGATAAGTCAAAAAATATTTTAATCAATGTTAAAAATAAAAGAAAACAAAGTCAGAAGTGTTCTTATTGAAAAGATTAAATAGTTTTTTTGAAATCTAAACTAACCAAAACATTCATATCGGACGTAGAAAAACTTCACATGTATATTAAACATTAAATTCTTTGAAAGAAAAATAGTTGTCTCTAGTTTTAGCTACTTCTAGCATGTTTAAATATCCTAAACATGCCCCATTTAAAGTTTGAGCAAAGTTAGTCTCTTTGGTTATATGTAAGACTAACGAAAAGCTGTAATGTTATGAAAAATAATTTTTCTTTTAATAATTATTGATGAAAACTATTAACAATCGATATGTATGAATATGAAAATCTAAACCGGAATGATGATGCTTTCCTATAGATGAACCTTACTCTCATGAACTTACAATGGAACGGTTTGTATTGTTTATCAAAATGATTGGACATATTCGGGTCAAATTAAAGCTCTCACTGTCAAACTAACAAATTTAAAATATTACGTGCCCATAGCGTACTTAGAGCAAGTTACTTAAATTTCAAGGTATATGAAATTTAGGTATAAAAATGAATTAGAGAAGATTTTCTCCACTATTGTAAGGACAAAACATAGTGTTGTTCGGGCCATATGAAAGAAGGTACCTACAAACCCCATGATTGGCCCGAACAACACTATGTTTTGTCCTTACAATAGTGGAGAAAATCTTCTCTAATTCATTTTTATACCTAAATTTCATATACCTTGAAATTTAAGTAACTTGCTCTAAGTACGCTATGGGCACGTAATATTTTAAATTTGTTAGTTTGACAGTGAAAGCTTTAATTTGACCCGAATATATCCAATCATTTTGATAAACAATACAAACCGTTCCATTGTTAGTAGTTATTGGGTCAAACATGATGGAATCACCCTACAGAAAGTATGTATTCGCTACTTTAGCGTTCGAAATTGTTTTCCCGAAGGAGAAAGACTTGGGTAAAACACAGGATATGTCTCGGCACTGAAACCAAATTGTTTTTTAAACAGGAACCGAACCGACATTTTTTTTGAACTAGAGACTGGCGTGAAGATATTTTTGATCGGGCATCTAGCCCAAACTTTTTTTTTACCGGAGATAGAGATCGAGTTTTTTTTTTGAAAAAGATCTGAGTCCATTTCTTTTTGACCGAAGGCTCAGACCAAATTGTTATTTACTGGGATCGAGGCTAAATCGTGTTTTGACCAGAGATCAAAATGAAATTTTTTTTCCACCGGTGTCCGAGACCGGGACTAGGACCAACACTTTTTCATTGAGTGATATTTTTTATGATCGTGTAAAACGTGCATTGAGTGGATGTTATATTGTCACGACTCATATGTTCTAAATAGATACGAGCGAGATAGTCCCAGTACCAGCGGAATCAAAACTAACAACGGCTAGTCACACTTATGTTTAAAAACACTGGATTCAACTACTCTATTAATCACTTGTACCCGCTTTCGTTTTAGACTAATATAACCGAATTTGAGATTTTATTCTTTTTTTTCATATTATGTATTTAATATAACCTTGACCAGTACAAATTGTAATGAACAAAGAAGAATTGAAAAAGTTTACTATTGTAAACTTTCAAAGAGTTCTGACTCATAATAATATCCGTTGTATGCATATATATATATATGTCTATAATTGAAAAGTGAGAGTTTATTGAATATATCTAAGATCATTTATGATATTTGTTCTTTCTTTGATTCATCGAACTTCAATTGAAAATCATAGATATTCTTATCTTAAAAAATAACGATGACAACTATCAATAGCGTAGATTTTTCTATTGTTTTGATAAGAAATAATGAATGATGTAATATATTCTATGCATCTCTCTTGGGAATATTGACACTTGATGTTCAAGATCACGACAACGCAATCGTGAATATGAAAAAATATTTCTTTTGTTTCAAAACGATGTCACTGGTTGTTAAGTGTCGCTTAGGATTTTATTGGTTAATATAATTCATCAAATAGAAATATATTTTGAAAATTTTTCTTGTCGTATTCTTTCATTATTTTTTTATTTTGTGGTAATGGACACAATTGTTTCTTCATCAAATCAACCAGCTTTATTTAGTAAAAATATTTATTTAAGAATAATAACAAATATTAAAACAGATGAAAAGTAATATAAAATTGATTTATTAATCTAAGACAAACAAACAAAAAAAAAAACAAAAATAATAATTTATTTAGATGTCGAAATGTTCATGTAACAGTTGAATTTCAAACAGCAAGTTCATTACAAACAGTAAATTTTTTCAAAATACAAAGATTTTTAATTTAATAATTTATTTAGGAATTCGTTCTTAAATTAACTGATGAAGATGATCCATTTTTTCTTTATGAACTTCATTTAAATGTTGATGATTTTAAAAAGTAAAAGAAAACAAAAAAAACATTAATTTACTGTTTATTATTATTATTATTAATATTTAGTTTAAAACGAGAACAAGGTGTATTAGTTGATTTTAATGCATTCCCTCAACATGTTATTGATTATTTAAAGTTATGTATACGTGATCAACATAATGATACGACACCTGCTAAGTAATAAAAACGAACAAAAATAATTAAAAAGATAATTTTTTTTGTTTCTTTATTAAGTGGTTCTCGTTTTCAATTACAACTTGTTACTGATGAACAACAATTAACAAATCATCAAACACATTTACGTGTTGTTGAAATAAGTTCATTTAAACATCTTACACATTTATCTCTATTAGTAACATCAGCTAATGATTATGAAATAAAGAATTATCTTGCTAGACGTTTACAATCAAAAACAGTAAATCTTATGAAAATTTTTATATTTATTTTAATAAATCTTTTGTTTGTTTGTTTGTTTTTTTTCTTTTACTTTCAAAGATGGATTATAATCAATTAAATAATGATTATGAAAAATTAAAACGAGAACTTGAATTAACACAATTGGTATATTCAACTTGAATTAAATTTATAATTGATATTGAAAGCTTTTTTAATTTTGTTTTTTAGGAATTAAAAGAAAAAAATACAAATTTTGAAAAACTTACACGTGAATGGGATTCAAATAATAATCAAATTGTTGGAAGACATATGCAAGAATTAGCAGAAGAAAAGGAAAAAGCTTTACAAGTATGTTAATAAATTTATAAAGATTTTTTTTTTTTTTTGAAGATTTTAGCATAGAAAGTAAGGAACGTATAGAATGATTTACATGACTCAGTATTACAATAGAATATTTGTTTGTTATAAACAAAGAAATGCGATCATTTATGGAAGCACAAAAAAAAACATGCTTGGTTTTTGTCGTCATACATAGAGATCTTATATAGTCTCAGTTTCACTTTCATATTTCTCCATATATGAATCGATTGTTTTCGTATCCAGTCAAGGAGCAATATGAATTGTGAAAATATGGTCATATATGATGTAACACGACTTTTGCGAGTATATACAGACTCTAGATTATGCTTGAAATTGGTGGAGGTTTTTCTAATCAGACCGGACTAGCTGGTTCGATTCCAAGTATGCTCCAGATCCTTTATCCTGGATATACACCGCAGTCATGATTCCATTTCCATGGTATTGAATGGAATATAGTATAAACTATTCGAATTTCGTGATGCTTCGCGGCATCACGTCGCCTTCGGTGGCGATGTGATACTAAGACTCGCGAATCTCTATTCTATATATCTATACACTCAAAATTTAACTGAAAGTTTTTCTTTGACAAGAATAGTTTCAGATTTTGTTCGTTGTTCCTATCCTAAGATACAATTATGGTAATAGTGTGTCTTCAATATTACTCATATAAACTGGTAGATTTGATGTTCTTAATGCAGGGTACAAGCAAATCAAAAGATATGAAATTTTTACACTAAATTATGCTCGTTAAAGTTTCAAGTCGAAATTCGAAAATCAATTTTTCTGCCACCACAACATTCGTTTAGAAAATACCATAAGAGTGTAGTATCTCTGTATGAATAAGCTAAAGGCATGCACTCTTTTCAAGATACTCATAGCTCAATTGTATCTACAGAATGCATATAGTTTCGACTCACCAGCGATTTATCACTTCCAGAATTTTCCTTACAAGACGATTGATGATTTGATCTTTGTTTCTCTTATCCAACTAGATCGCCACTAACTCAAAAAACTTTGCATTTGAAAGTTAGAATCTTGTCTGATCACAGTTTTTCATAGTTGGACACAATAAAATCATTCTTGATTTTAATCTTTAGTCATAATCCGAATTTTATAAGAAAATATCATATGAAATGAAATACTTCACGATATATCAGTTCCAAAAATGTTATCAATATTCCTTCATAGATGATTCTATTTGATTAATCATTAGTTATACATTTTCCTCTCATTACAATTCATTTATCCTTTTTTTTTGATACTTATGAATTTTGCACAATCTTTCTTTTGAGTTAAGTAACTTTTTCTGAAACATGTTTAGCTATTATAATACCACCAAATTATTTTTTACTTCTAACCATCCATCTAAATCTCAGTTTGGCTAAGTAAGATTACCTGTATATCACTGAGATGCACTGTTCTCCTCCTAACTGCTGAATATTAAATCATATCATTGCTTAAACTTTTGTCATGTGATTAGATTACAGAATATGTCTTATAATAGATCATTCTAATCTCAACAGAAATTGTTTAGTTATTCGATTATTTTAACATACAGAAATATTTAAATATAGATTTTGTTTTTCTTTGTTAAAGGAACGAACAAGTATACAAGAAAAAGTGGAAAATGATCGTCGTGAACTTGAACAAACACATTTACGAAATGTTCGTGATATGCAAAAACGTTTATCTGAACTTGAAGAAACAACAAAAGTTTGTTATTTATTTTATTTTTAATAAATAAAAATCAAACAATAAAAAAAAAACACTTTCTTGTGGTTTTAGGAATTAACTAGTTTAAAATATCGTAATGAAATAACAATCAATGAACTTAGTTCAAAATTACAAACATTAACTGAAGAATATCAACAAGCTAAAGATGAAATAAATAAATATAGAAAAACAAATACAACACTTGAAAATGATATACATCAATATGAAAAAACTGTTAATCATTTACGAACTAAAATTGCACTTGTTGAACAAGAAGTTAAAAGTAAACACGAAGTTATTCAACAAACAAATGATCGTATTGCTATTGAACAAGAATCAAAAGTATATATTTTTTTTTCACATTTGTTTTATTACGTCAAATTTAATTTTCTATCTGAGTACATGATTTATATGTAGATAATCAGAAAAGAGTTGAATTGCAATAGAATACCTTCGGGTTTATTCAGTAAAATACAAAGTAAAGTTTAACCTATGAAAGACCGGAAGCACAGATGGAAAACATTGAGTACAATACCACTCTATTTATTTTTGATAATATATAATGCTCATGAAAATATAGTAGAATCTGTTGGTGTATTTCAAATATTTTTTTTCTCTTGCGGAAATAGACAATGTAACAACATCAAATATTAGGTTAACTGGAACATTTAAACGACATGTAGCTCGTTTATATTACATGTGAAAAAGTGAACGATTATTTATATTTAACATTCCTGTGCATAATGAAAAATGTTTCACCATAGCTGAGTCGCTTACGTTGTTCAACACGTATACACAAGGCTCTATGTTCAACTCTTGTTATAGAATGACTTTAGAGAAGTCGGTAACGATTATTTTCCAATAGCATGCTGACTACGTGATGGCATACACCTACTTTTAGGTTAGTTAGTGTGCATGGATGCGCTCAAGGAATCTCCGCCAGACGGGTTGGCCTTCTGTCCAGAGCTACAGCTAGTATTAGTTGTAGGGAAGATATCAGGAAATTGAATATGCTGAAATGCAGAGATACTTCTTCATCGTAGTTTATCATCTCTAAACGATTATTATTTTGCTACGTTACTTTAAAACGGAACAAACTAATTTCTATTAATCAACGATATCGCAAATGTTATTTGTAAAATTAAGAAGTTAAAAGGTATTTTTGTTAGATAAACCAATTCTTTATATTAAAATGCACTCATTTTCTCTTACAAACAAAAGTTTAATACTATAAACATTTATGATTCTATATTTTAAATATTAGAAATTCATACTGACGAACGATTTTTTTCAGATGGCTCCTTCTGATTTTCAATGATTTTCTTTTTGTCTGTGAATACCACATTGTGTTCTAATAAAAATTCTAAACGGATTTGAATTTGACTAAGCTGTCGAATTTTGATCTGAAACTTTGTGTATATGAACAACTGAACTAAGGTAACTTTCATAAAAAAATTGAGAAGTTTTGAACAAAGTCTCTTCAAAATATGAAATTTTCACAATATACATGCTTTACATACTATCCATGGAACAAGTCTTATATATCGTGAAGAGATTTCGTTCAAAATTTCTGAACTTTTTTATAGAAGCTAGTCTAGTTGAATTTTCTATATGCACAAAATTTCAGATCAAAATTCGACAGCTTAGTCAAATCTCAATGGAAACCGAATTTTTATTAGAACACTATGTCATATAATGATTGAAATCGTAAGATGATATTTCATGAGGTTTTCTCATACGTAATATATAAGTGTTCTGTATTTTGTGTTATATAATCATAAATATTTTGATTTATTTAGAAAAAATATGAAGAAACAGTTCAATTAAAAATGGAAAAAATGTTAGAATTAAAACGAGATTTAGCTAAAGGTAATGAAATAATTATACGATTTGGTAATGATTTAGAAAAATGTAAAAGTGATTTACAAAAATATCAACAAGAATTAGCCAAAAGTCGTGAAAAAGTAATTTCATAACATAGGAAAAAAAAAAACAAGTATTTTTCTATTTTATTTAAAATTTTCATTTAGATGAAAACAAAAGATCAAATAGCAACAAAACAAGAACGTATATTACAAGAAAAAGAACGTGAATTAGCAACATTACAAAAAGAAAATGTTGAATTAACAAATAAATTAGAAAAATCTAATGATACATATCAAAAATTAACTGAACAACACAATGAAGCAAAAGATTTATTAAAAAAAAATGAAGCTTTAATTAATTATCTTAATCATAAATTAACTGAATTACAAAATATTCAACCACAACAAGCACGTTTATTAAATGGTAATATGACACTTGATTCATCATCAGCAACAACAACAACAACTTCAAATCATTTTCGTCCAACATCATTTTTAGTATTTTATTTCAAAATATTTTATTTTTCATCAAAACAAAAATTTCTTTTTAAATTTTTAGACAAATTCACAAACCAATGGTGAATTACATTCGATGAGACATGTTTCACAATTTCCTAGTCTACAAACACATTATGAACCAATGAATAAATCTCAGGTAAGAATGAAAAAACTATTCTTAAACTAATTTTTAACAATATTAACTTCATTCTGGTATTAATTATACTTCATACTAATAGTATACTTTGATTTAAAAAAAAAGCACAACATGATCTCAAAAGATTCATAATTATAAATAGAGAACACGCATGTTTCTTTGAAATAATATCATACGGAAGTAGTTCTCAATGACCTATTACTCATTTTACATTATGTACATAGATCAAATGAGATATTTCTAAAAATGAAGATCATCAAAAAAGCCAAAATTGATAAAATCTTCAGTGAATACACACATATGAAGTCCTAACAAAAAAGAAAACATTTTAATCGAAAGCTCTATGAGAAGAAATGGAATCGATATCAGTCATCAAAAATCCACATTCGATTCGATCTCTGTCTATGAGTATAAAATTTAATACATCAGATCGGTTTACTTATATCATTTAAATATAATTAAATGGATTAAATATATATTTAATTCAAAGATTCGTGTTTTTTTAAAGGGAACAACATGGAATAGTTCAACGACGGGTCATAATCAACATATGATGAGTAGTACTCAAATGCCAGTCTCATCATCAACATTAAATACTTCAACATCAGCTGCTGTAAAACATTATTCAGCAAGTAATAATGATTTAAAAGATAATATTGAACAAAAGTATGTTACTTTTTTTTTTTTTTGAAATGAAATTCATTATACAATAATATTTATTTTAATTTAGTTCAATGAATCCGCCGGTTAGTTCAAAAATTGATCCAAAATATTTTCAATTTAGTTCAACAAGTGGTACAACAATGACAACTGGTAATCTACCACTTCGATCTTCTATGTCAGCTGGTAATGTTCAAAATTCATCACGTGCTAATACAACAACAACAACTGCAGTAATAAATAAACCATTGTCAACTCAACAAAATCGATCTGTTCGTCAACAATCCGTAAATACAACTCCTCTTGCTTCAGCTTATTCGTCAGAAAAACAAATGTAATCTTAATCTAGCTTTTTTCTTTTCTTTTTATATGATCTTTCGTCCATGTGTGCTTGTGTGTTTATCATCTCAGGTTGAAAACCTTTTGCTCTTTGTTCCGTCCATAATAATACATATAAATATTTAGTATTTGTGTATAAAATAATGTTTTATTTCTAAATGTATTATCAATACGAGTTTGAATGAATGAATGAATAACTAATGAAGTAAAAATGATCTTGCATGACAATATCGTTATTATTCAATGTATTTCTGTTATTGCTTCACTTAATTCTAATGTTACTATATCGTTTCATTCACATATTAATGAGTAGATGTGACTACGATTTGCAAAATGTCTTTGTGTGTACTTTTCTCTTTCGTTCTTTTTATTCCGTTATCCATAAACAGTGTCAGATATTCATTTTTTTTTTGTTTATGGTTTCATATAAACATCCTCTTGAATATGTAATGATCTGTTGTCTTAATGTATTCTATGATTTGATTGAGAATGTTCACCTTGAAAAAAACAACAACAACATAAATGCCTGATTCATCATTGCTTTTTTTTGTCTCTTGATATGCGCAGCTGTGAGTAGCAGTTGTGTTCGTTCGCACACATTGACATAATCCTACTATCTCTTTCTTGCTGTTTTTTTCTACGGTATGTTGTGTAGATTGACAAGTTCTAACACAAGGGAAAAAACGCAGTTTGTGCTAACAAATAAATACTACTCGTTGAAAAAAAAACGGAATAGGAAGGAAGGAGCAAGCGTCCGACCGAAAGATAGAGAGAAGAAGAAGACGAGAAAACGACTCTGTTAATTGGTACTCTTTTTTTCTTTTGTATTTATGTATATGTGACATAAAAAAAAAACGAGCAAAAATAAGACACAAAGCATCACTCTAATTCGAAAGAAAGATATTCTGGAGTTGATATTGTTTCTGTAAATAACGTACCGTCTGTATATTGCCTAATATATGTTTTATCTATTTTTAGATGGTTTATTAATAGAGAAATTTGAAATATTGAAAAAAGCAAATAAATATTTTTATTCGATCCATCATTATTCATTAATTCACTTTTTATAGGTACGTACAATATGTCTTTCTTCATGATTTATTATGCGTATCAGCTGGGAGAACCTCAAAAAAAAGAGAAAAAAATAATGAAAATGGGTGGCGGATATAAACCTCTCAGGGCCATCACTAGTGACATTAGTTGAAGGCAAAATACCAAGGGCAATAAAATAATGTGTAAAACGAAGAAAAGAAAAAAAAGGAGACGACCGACCGTTATAATAAAAAAGAAGAACGATTAAATTCTATTCGAATTTGTCATATCTACACAAGATTAATCATCAAATATAGACAAAAGATTTCTTTTCATTTAATTCTTTATAATAAAAACTTAGGAATCTTATTTCCAATAATAAAAAAAAAAGAGAAGCTTGTAAGTTTAGATTTATTTATTTAAAAAAAAGTTAATCATCGTCATTCTTTATCATAATGACAGACACATTCGATGTCTATTCCATCGGAAAAAGTATAAGATTAATGAGACGATATGTCAATAACGATGCATTTTCTTTTTTTTTTTTTTTTTTGTTTCGACATACTCCATACATTTACAAAACCCTTGATATTGATAGACAATGTACTGCACAAGATGATTGTATTTTTTTTCTGTTTTTTTTTTTGTCCTAGACAACTGCTGTAAGATGTATGCATTCATTGACATATAAACAAGATGTAATTGATACTGAGAGAAAACGAAAAACATTAAATATTGACACAGTGTTATAGTTTTTTAGTATAAATCATAACGCTGACTATGTCTGTATCTATTCAATGTAGATTTCTAATTTTATTAAAGTTTATTGTATGTATTTTTCTTTTCTTTTTTTTTTTATCATCGATCTACACGAATAAATATATTCACGTTAAAGTTAACATTAGTACTACCGTACAACACATTAGATAAGAATATAGTTTCGTTTATTTGGTTGTTGTCAATATGTGTAGAACATCATTGTCATTCTCAATGTATTCAAAGACAAAAGAGACGAAGAGTTCAACATGCTATTCCTACGGATGATCAATAGAGAAAAAAAAAAAAGAAGAAATCTATTATTCATCTTCCATTGAATGAATAAGAAAAATAGATACAATCACTCGTCAACTGATCATTTGTAGAATAAGATGTTAAATAGAAAAAAAAGTCCGATTTTTGATCTAACAAAAAGCCACCATTCCCCTGTGTATCTTATTTTTTCTTTATTATGCTAGTGTTTCATCAGCACGTGTAACAGTACATCGAGGCATTGACGTCTTTCTTTTTTTTTTCCCCATTTTTTTCTAGTTCTGTATTGCACCTTGCTGTTTCATGAAAACAAAGACATGTTTATTTTTCTTTGTTTATAATTTCAGGGTCATTATCAAAAAAACGTACATACTGTATTATCATCAATCGACATTCTTTAATTATCAATTGTATTTTAATACTTCGCATGTTAAATAACTTATATTATTGATAGAATATTATCTAACACTTCAACACAGATGAACAGTACTGGAAAAGATAGTGAACAAAGTGGAAAAAATAATCATGATTTAAATTCATGTTCTAATATGTCAACAACTAATACAAATGGTCCTTCGACAAATGCATCTTCAACAACAGGATCTAATTTTGAAATAGTTCGACAACAACGTTTTGACGTTGGTCCACGTTATACTGATCTAAAATTTATAGGTGAAGGTGCTTATGGTAAGTAATAAATAGAAGAAAAATTTATTTTTATTTTATTTATTTTTTTCTTTGTCATTCTTAAATTATTT